GTTTTGGTCTTTTTTTTTAAGATTCACAATAATGTTTTTATAATGGGAAAACAGTTGCTTTTTCCAGTCCAATTTCCTGGACCATCATTTATTTAATTTTAAAAACACTGTTACAAAAATCACAGAAACTATATTTGAAAAATTACAACCAAGAGGTGATAGTTTTTCAAAGTTATGAGCATCTGAAAACAAACAAATAAACAAACTTAACTATAGCTTTCACTCCTTAGAACCTGGTATAATTTGAAGTTTTACACTGTTTGTGAATGTGATTGGCTAAAAAAAACCTGCTATTCACAAATGTAGAATTTATTGCTGTTAGAAATCTCAGTAGGCAAGAAATGTGAATTTCTTGCAAAAATAATACTTCCATACAAAACATTTTATTATTTCTTCATGCTATTTTAAATATGATTTTTATCTCATCAGTTAATTTGATTTACACAAATGTAGAAGTAAATGTCATGTTATGATTTCTAAATGCTAAATCGTCACATTATAAATTAATAGTTTTTAGTTTAACAAATGCCACAGCTGTATACATATAGCACATACACATTTAATAAAGCATCTTCTTTCATTTGTATGCTCAACTGAACTGTTTTTTATATTTGTGTATAAAACATGCAGGAGGTGGAGAACCTGTTTGTAATTCTCTCAGCAATTCTGCATCTTGGAGATATTCAGTTTACTGCTCTGACAGACGCTGAGACAGCATTTGTGTCAGACCTGCAGCTACTAGAACAAGGTCAGTAGAACATGACCTTCTAGTATTGCCTACATTGTCTCTGTTAATAAGGTGATTTCACTAATTCACCAATAGATGGAAACACTGTTCCAGGCAAGCAGAGATCTGCAGCCATAAATTACTGGGGAAACATAATATCCTATTGGCTCCAATACTTTATAAACTACAAATTTTTTTGGGAATGAGCAAAATGCTACTGTGGCAGATTATTAAATTCGGTGTCATACACAATGATGCCATTTGCCAAAAGAAATTTACAGTGCAATATATCCATCCACTTTGGTTGCATGACAACACCGAAGCAATTTGCATTGAATAGAATTCCTTACATTCAGAAATCCTTGCTTTAAAAGATTCTCTTGCTTTGAAGTTGCCCTGTTGGTCACTTACAAATCTCATCAAAGTGGTTTATGAATACAGATTGCCAATAAGCAGCATACCTTAACTCTAATACTAAAGCGATCCTGCCAAGCCCTAGGGAAAGTTCTGTGTAATCTGTATGACTGAAAAAGCTGTAATTTAATATACAGATACATTCAAACTTTACAAAGTCCTGATTATAGTAAGCCGATTTTACGTATTCATTAATTTTGATTACTGCCATGACAGCTCACTCTGCATTAATCTAGAGTTTTTTTCATTGTTTAAAAATAGCAATGAAATAAAAAAAAATCTGTGTATATATTGAACTGAACACATGTTCATATCTTTTCAAAACAACTCTTTTCATTTAGTGGCAGGAATGTTGCAGGTATCGCCAGATGAACTTGCTTCAGCCTTAACAACTGATGTCCAGTATTTCAAAGGTACTTCTTCCAAGTCCACATTCTAAAAATCAGACATGGTAGCATTTAATTCCTTTTGAGTCTGTCAGAGCTAAAATAGGCTATGTCTACACAACGGGCTTTTTCCTGGATACCAGAGGTATCCCAGAAAAACTCCACCACATCCAGGGAATGCATCTGCTCTTCCACTTTTTTTTGCAATAGAGCAGACGCGCTCTTTTGCAAGCCCTGTCTTCTCTTCCACGAAGAAGAAGAAGAGTTCTTCCAAAAGAGGAGATTTTTTCCGAAATTTGGCCCAGTGTAAAAAGTATCAGAAAATTGTGGAGTGCAATTTGCATACATTTTTCCAATAAAATCTCGTAATCTAGACATAGCCATAGTTAATGGTTTTTTCTCATTTTTTATGAACCAGTAAAGAGACTCGCTCAAGGAAGAGATCAAACCGGGTTTTGTAATAATAGCAACCTATTCTAACACAGAACTCAGCAATAGCTCATAGGGTGACACTGATAGACTTGAACTGTGATGAACCTCGCAAAAATATAGCAAGGTCAAAGACCAGGCCCAGATCCTATTGCTAAAAACCAATGTCAGCAGGAGTGTCCTTTAGAAATTCCATTTCAATAAGTTGTCTGCAACTAGAAATGATCCTGTATGCCACACAAATTTCTTTTTGACTCTGTTCACTTCTGACCTGAGAATTTTTCAAGTATGTTAGTGGAAGCCTTTTGTTATTTGACTCACTAGATCTTTCTATAGAATTAGTACACAACAAGAGCATGGGAAATGAAACACGTGAAGAGGCTGGACAGCAAGATTATTATGATGAAAAATATTTAAAATACAATTTATAATCATGTTTTCTCCTCCTTTTTCTGTTTACTTTCTTAGGAGACATGATCATAAGAAGACACACTATAGAGATTGCAGAATTTTATCGAGATCTTTTGGCAAAGTCACTGTATAGTCGTTTATTTAGTTTTTTAGTGAATACAATCAACTACTACCTCCAGAATCAATATGAGACCAGCAGGTAGGAGCACGGGTGCTAACTAATCTAATTGATGATCTTACATGTTGATGACCTATTTAAAAGAATCTGTCTTATAAAAGGTATACAATGTAGCCATTATTAAAGCATTGCATTATAGTGTTCCAGTTATGCTTAATGATGTTATTGGTCATTCATGGAGTGTTCCAAATCCTTCACTACTTGATGACAAATTGTTTGTTTTGTGCTTGTATGCAAATTAATTTAGAGACCAAAGAGAGGTGACTATTTCTACACCAATGTCTAACATTTATGTATCTAGATAAGGAACTGCATAGAAACCTAGTACAGTAACTGTTCTAACCTGTTGGCCAGCCCTGACATGACACTTCTTTATGTTAGTAGGCATATTGTTTTTTTCATGTAAGACATTAATGTTAGCTTGTATCATCTTCTTTAATGGTGTTTGTTACTACATCATTACAACATCAGATATGGTATTTAACAAGTTGTGACCTGGTTGGCATTTAGTTGGTGTAAAGCTCACTTATTATTCCTCTCAATATCTCATGATAATAGGCAGATTATTAAAACCAAAATTCAGCTCAAAAGCCTTAAAATACGTGTTTAAATTTCAGTTCTGTTTCCATGAAACCATAGGAGTATTTTCTACATGTCAGTAGGTAATCATGTGATTAACTCAAACAAATTGCCATCTGACATGGTTTCTCAGAAAACATGCATGCCCACTGAAGTATATTAATGGAGCTAATTGGGAAAAAATTTCATCAGAATTCAGACAGAAAACTAAGACGAGAAGTCTAATTAGACTGTAATATCTATGTGTCTTAACTAGGATTCAAAATGTCACATGCACACTGATAAAAACTGGCTTTCTCATATATACAAAATAAATGCTGGTTTGGCATTATTCACAAGTGGTAAACCACAAGTGAGTTCTGTGGATTGTCTTTAACAAGCGCCAATAATCCCTTTATACCACAGTCAGACAGGCTGTGTAGCCACAGGTACAGCAGAATTATTAATTTAGAAATATTAATTTGGGGGGTTTTAAAATCCATCAATTTGTAAAGCCATTAGTAAAGCCACCATACCAAAAATCACAGATACTCTGCACCTCTTTCATATAGGCTTTAATGTTATATAAGGGCTTCAAAGCTAGTATAGCTAGACATCAGCAATTCCCCCAATATAAAGGGCTTCCATGGCTCGAGTAGAGCTGTGTACCCACTGTGTGCCAGTGCAAGGGATGTTCAGGAGGCATTCCAAGGTGGAAGGTGGGTTCCCTTGGGATGCTGCTACTGGACCAGCCTCCTTAGAGCCACAGGGTTCCAGTTAGAAGCAATTTCAAGTTGCTCTATATGTACCAAAAGCTGAATTTATCCCTGGTCTGTTCATGATGAGGGAGATATAGTATAGCAGAGAGCCATATTTAGCCCATTACCTTCCTGAGTTTCTTGTGACAACTCAGCTCTGACACAGAGAGGATTGAGGCCATGCTGTCTTGCTCTATGTCTACATCAGGACTGGGCAAGACACTGCCCGGGGCCAGATCCGGCTCTCCTAACACTTTGATCTGGCCCACGGACTACATCTGGCTGATTTCTATTTATATCCTGCTGCCTGTGCCATCAAATTTCCAGGTGGTGGCTGAGGCAGCAGAAGACTATTTAAATGGCTCACAGCTCACAGTCGTGACACTGGAGCCGCAAGCCTTTTAAATAGTTGTAGCAGTCCCAAACGTCTTCCATGCAACGCAGTAACGGCAGAGCCAAGAGCTGCAAGCCCTTTGCTATGTTTTTAATTCAAAACTCTGGCCCACACAACTCTGGAGGGAAGGTTAGTCCCCTGTCCCACCCCTTCCACGAAAGACCCCTCCCCTTCTAGGTATGGAGCTGGCCCGTGTACTAAAATTAAGTGGTCTCTCTGTGAAAATTATTGCCCATACCCGGTCTACTCTATGAGCTAGGGGTGTGATTTCCTTGCTTCTGTACACATACTTGCACTAGCCCTCATTGAACTAGCTCAGATATAAATATCAACAGTCCCAAGAGTAATGCAGCAGAGGCACAGTTAAGTTGTGCTGAACACATATCCCCAAGTTGCAGACAAGTTTGTATTTGGCATGGCTCAGCCTTGCCCTATAGTCACTACCAGTATGTGTACCAGTGTTTGTACACCAGCAGGGAAATCACACCCTCTAACATACTGGGGAACAATCCAGACTATGGGGGATTGTGCTGCACTTCCCTGCAGCCTTGGATGCCTTACCATGTTTTGCGGTAGTGGCTCCCATCTGAGCTGCTTGCAAACATCCTGTCAGCATCCCAATCACATTTAGGGTTGTGAACTTTCCTGACGGGACAAACTAAATGCCATTCACAGCAATGGCATCTGATTCTTTTGGTCAAGAAAGTTGGCAACCCTAGTGAGAGCACAGTATCACTGGCAGGCTGCAGTAACTGGCAGGCTTTCGGAATGTGACAAGGATTCCGAGATCCTGAAAGTTACTGCAGCCTGCTAGGGATACTGTGGCTCTCACCAGCCTTAGTTATACTGCAGGGTTGCCCCAACTCACCCTCAGTCGCGGATATTCCCAGGCCCCTCTTGGACAGTACAAATACATTGTTATTTTTAAGTGAATAATATGCCATTTTATTACCTTAAATCAGGAGTGGGGAACCAAAGGTCTGGTGGCCAGATGTGGCCTCTGCATTGCCTGGATCCATCCCCTGAGGCACAGAGCTCCCTCCCTAGCATTCGGCAGCCCACGCAGGTGCTACAGCCTTCCTCACAACCCCACTGCCACACCAGTGGGCTGAAGCACACCAAATCTTCTTAATCGGGGCCACATCAGTGATTTTTCTCTGTGGGTCAGTAGCCCTGACCCAAAAAAGGTTCCCCATCCTGGAGTTTCAGTTAAACACACCAGATTAAATGACACAGTAAATCAAGTTTATTAACTACAAAGAGAAGGCTATTGAGTACAAGTAATGAGGCATAAAAGTTAGAAATGGTGACAAGAAAGATGAAGAAACAGTGCTCACTAACATCTACTTGAGAAACTAGCTTCATTGACAAACAAACTTTCTCACCACATGCTCCAGAAGATTACTGCTCAAACTTTAGAATCAGGACACTTCCTCAAGAGTTCAACAGATGTTTGCTTTTGTCTTCTGAGCTGTGGAGAATGAGGTGGACAGTGAGGGGCGTCCCTTGGGGGTGTTTGTCTCTCCTTTTAAATGTTTCCGTCCCTTTCTTGATAAACATTGCCATCTGAGAATAAGGAGCCAAAGAGAGACAGTGTGGCAGGATAGTCCCTGCAGGTTTTTTTTTCTCTTGCTTGATGACTCTCTTTACTGCTTAAATGCTAGTAAAGTCCAACATGCATTCCTTTGCTCAACACAGGTCTGTTTGACCACTTTGATACTACTTGAGTTTTAACGTGTATTTTTAACGTCATACCGGGGAATCTTATAACTTCACATGCAATGTTGCCGCATACTTTGTCAACAAATTACTATAATAGTGTGTAGTAGGGATGTAATAGTATAATCATTTAAATGGATAATTCATGCAGGTTAGGTCCATCAATGGCTATTAGCCAGGATGGGTATGAATGGTGTCTCTAGCCTCTGTTTGTCTGGATATGGGTGACAGGAGAGGGATCATGTGATGATTACCTGTTCTGTTCACTCCCTCTAGGGCATCTGGCATTGGCTGCCATCAGAAGACAGGATACTGGATTGAATGGATGTTAGGTCTGACCCAGTATGGCCCTTCTTATGTTCTAACTAATAACAATTAATGGTTAAATGCAGGTTCCTGGCCCTGCTTGTGGGAAGCCAGCTGCCACCCCAGAGCCCACAGCATGGGGCAGCAGCCGGCTCCCTAGAAGTCGGGCTGATGTCTGGGAGTTGGAAGCAGGTCCAAGAGGCAGCACATGCCAGCAGCAGCACAGAGCAGCAGCCAGCTGCCCAGAAGTAAGGCTGCAGGTGAGACCTGCTGCTGCCCTGTGCACCTCCCTCTGTATCAGAGGAGGAGCACAGGGCAGCAGCCAGCTCCCTGGGAGCAGTGCCAGCAACAGGAGCTGGTACGTACTGGGAGCCAGCTTAAAAGCTAGCTTTTGGTGTGTACTGGATCCTGGAGAGCTGCCTGCTACCTCACACTGCAGGCTCTGCAATATAAAGTTTACGCTGCAGATCCTTTAGCGCAGCCAGCTCCCTGGGAGTGGGGCCAACCGCCTCTGTATCTGGGGACACAGCTGCCAGCCCACAATATGGGCTCTGCAGTATAAGCTTTATATTGAAGAGGCTGCAATGTGAGATTTTCAGTGGTTACACGATTACCTAATTAACCACTTTGTAACATTCCTAGTGTATAGGTGTGAACCATCACGCACACTTAATTTGTAATGTAGACATAGCCATAGACATATGAGTCCAATTATGAAGGCTTTGAAGGGAGAGAAAAATATACAACACATTCTAAAAACCTCTAATATTATTGGTTATATATTTTATACATGATAATCTGTGATTTTAAGGTTTGATATTTTAGGACCTATCAGAACAAGTAGCTGATATCTATCTTGTACCATGATATAAAGCTCTCTTTTCTAGCCCTGACACAGTTTTAAGATATTAGCCAATTAGCCCATCATAAGACAGGATTTTCAGGTCTCTCCTCCAAGTTGGTCTTCTCTCCTGAGCCTCCGGTCTCTCACTCCATCTCTTTTTCTCTCTCTCTCCTCCGACTGCCTCCCCCTCTCTCTCTCAGCTCTCCTCTGCCTTCTGCCTCTCTTTCCATCTCTCTCTTTCTCTTCTCCCCCTCCTGCCTCTGACTCTCTCTCCGCTCTCCTTTGTCTCCACTGGGGATGCACGCTCATCCAGGCCCCGCCCCCTGGGCGTTTACGTCACCGCCCCCCCCCCCTTCGCCTCCCGCCGTGGTGCTTGGCTGACTTCTGCACCACTCAGCCGGGGCACCGTGCAGGAGCAAGGAGCACAAATGGCCTCTCTCTC